AACATATAATTTAGCTCTGAAAATGAAAATAAATCAACTTTACTTATTATAAAACAGTAAATGGACTGGAGAAAAAACGAGTCTGCATCATCTTTCCAGTCTTATTTGAAAGTAGTTTTGAGTCAGTCAGACACAGAAGAAAAATATTAAAACACAAACAATGCATCAAAATTGTACTAAAAGAAGTGTACCTGATCTTTTGAGTCTAAACTATGATTTGGCATTTATTTTGAGTCAATGAGTTACAAGACATTTAAGTTATATTTTTGTTTAACAGTGGGTGTTTTGGGTTTTTATTGACAGTCCCCATAAGAACCATCGTATGTTTGTTCCCCTTCTGGTAAAGAAGTCGGAGAGAGATCCGACCACTTCTCAAACCTGTCATAACTGGCTTTACTCTGCTCGCCATGTTTGCTTTGCTGTACCAGTGAGCCGCTGTCAATCACAGCCAAGATTCCTTCCTTCCTTCCATCCATCCATCCATCCATCCATCCATCCATCCATCCATCCATCCATCCATCCATCCATCGGGAAAAGTCAAAAACGGATGGATTCAGCTTTGGTATGTTAGGTAAAGTGAATAAATAAATAACATTTCTTGCTCGTTCTATCTAATTCAGGTATTCCCAAACTCGGTCCTCAAGGCCCCCTGTCCTGAAGGTTTTAGAGGTTTCCTTGCTCCAGCACAGCTGATTTTAATTGAAAGCTGATTAACAGGCTTTTGGTCCACTGCAATCATTATAACCAGCTGTGCTGAAGCAGAAAAACCTCTAAAGCCTGCAGGACAGGGGACCTTGAGGACCGAGTTTGGGGATGCCTGATCTAATTCATACCTAAAATACCCTTTAGATTACATTTTTGTACTTCTCAGTAACTGGCGGGAACTAATAATGCAACAAAAACATATTGGATAAAGATACAGAATAGTAGCTCCATTTGTCCTATATGTCTCCAAACAGCAATGGGCATGGATTACAGAGGGAAAACAAACAATAACTATTGATTGTGTTGAATTGTTGTTTAGTCTGACAGAGACAGAGGTGAAAGGGGATACTATCAATAGATCTGCAGGTGGAGTCAAGAGCAGCCGTAGAAGTGACCCATATGACATAAGAAACCCAAACACACAGTCAAACACTGCACTAGAACACTGAGGACAGTTATTCAAATAAATAACTGGGAAATGCAAGGCTGCATCTTTGGGGAAAGCTTGACTGTGGAAAATGCCCTAATAAGGATGTTGGGTGAAGAGGCTTTACATGAAAGAAAGACAAAGGGTTAAAATGCTAATTTATCAAAAGTTTCACTCCATAAATAAAGTAAAAAACTAAATATTTCATTGGCTAAATGGAATAAAACTGAAATAGTTTAGGAAATATAACTTATTAATAGAATATTGTAAAAACAAAGAAAAATTGGGTTTTCATAATAGAGATTTAAGGATTTCTGATGAAACTGATCATTCAGATAAATGTATTTTTATTATAATGGAATTTTTATGATAAGTTTGTTTGTTTCATATTTCCAAAAAATAATAGACAAACTGAGAGCTGATTTTTTTTTCCATTGCCATATTAAATAGAATTTAAAAAAACAGATGAATTATTATTATACATATTTTTTCAAATTTTGTTTTGAGTTCTGATATCAGCTCATGTCTATAAGCCTTGCAAACTGGCTAAATTTAACAATATAACAAAAACCAGCTGTTCTGCCTTACAAACTACTCTTCAAACCTAAATATGCCAAAAACAAAATCAGTATCAAATCAGGCCAAGAATAAAGTCATTATTACATTTATGAGTTGGATTAAAATGTTCACTCAAATATCAGTGTTATATACCAGGTGTGCACAATCTAAAGAAAGAAAAAACTAAAACGTTGATTAACATGGTTTAATTATATTTTGCCAGATTACTCTGATAACGTCCGATGGTGACGTCAGACAAGTAGCTTAACCAAGAAAAGGTAAAGCATTACATTATCTCAGAAAAATCATAAAACAAGATTTGTATTAGAAATCTTTAGTGATTTAAGGATAAGTAAAAGGTAATTTTAGTACCATAATTACATTATTTATGGCGACCTGGATAAATATCTGCTTGCATGTGAGCAACTGAGCTGATGCTACGGATCATGCTTCCGGTACGGATTGAGCAGTAAAAATAATCCATGATCACTAGATGAGCACATGTATCCCAGAATGCTATGCTCTCCTTGCAAAGCCTCATGGGAATTGTTGTGGTGGAAAGAAAAAACAAAGATAGCGCAGGCACCTTGCGAGGAAGATAATTTTTCTATTTTTCAGCCACATAACTTTGACCAATGATTTATTCCAATGTGAAAATATTCTGGACGCTGTTGAGAAGAAAAATAAATTTAAGCAATTAAATAAACCCCTTGAGCCAGCGGGCCTGATACCGGGCCCAGTTGACACCGACTGACGTTTATCTATTTCTAGAAATGGCCAAAACACAGTCACATGGCGTTTTATCCACGTTCCTTTCAAATGAGGCTTTAAAATTTCTGAAACATGTTCTAAAATTATTTTTTCAAAAGTACTTTTTGTTTTAAAGCTGTGTAAACAAAATTAGATTTTAAATTCCACCTAACTTGTGTGACTCTGCTGGTGTAATGCAAAAGCAGGTATTTATCTTTAGCAAAGGCTTTGCCTTATGCAGAAGGTCTCCAATAATGTAAATCAGCATATTTGCCTGGCCAGATTCCCTTTTATGAGTGGAAACATTTGGTACATTTGGCCACTTTTGGTTCTACTGCGCCAAATTCCCATTTCCATCTAGCACACTGCCCACTAAAAACTTTCTGGAAGAAACAAGCTTCAACTTATTGAGTCAAATTTGCTTGAAATGTAGTACAGATGTGGTTCTATAAAGTCTGAGCGTTCATCCATAGTATCAAATTGGGTTTCATGGTGTTTTGCAGTGTTTATTTTGGAAAAAAAATTGGTTAGGCTAAATATTTTTCATCTTTTCTTTATTTAATCACCAATAAACCAGACATGGTGACATTTAAAACAGTGGTTCAACTTGAAAAATATTCCTCAATCCCTTTCTGTCATACAAATACAACATTTGTGTTTCCAATTAATAGTTTGGAAGCTGTACTTGTTTTAATTCACATATGTTATTTCAGGCTGAATTTGTTCCCAAGACCCTCAGCGCTTATGGGTTAAAAATAAACCTCTCATATAATAAATAGATTGATTTAGACTTAAATAATTTTAATTTTTGCTAGCTAAAATGGAAACCAGTAAGTATTCAAAGGAAACCCTTGATCTCTATTGAATACTTACTGTATCAGGGCTGTCAACTCTCACCCATTGGGAGTGAGACTTACCTATCTCAGTGTCTTCACATCCTCTCATTCCATATTCCTAACTTCTCAAACTAAAAAATGACAGACATTAAAACTCAACTCAGTCTAGTTTAATAATCTTCCCTTGGAATTCAGGAGTAATTAAACCAACACAAATATTTTAATTCTAAAAGCTGTCAGGTTTGCCTCTCAAACCCATAGGAGCTCCACAAAAAGAACCATTGCATTTTTTTTTTTCAAAAGATCAGCCACCCAGGAAAAGACACCAACCACATTCAGAGAGGATGTGCAGAACAACTTAGTTATCCAGGATTCGTAGAGAAGAAACCACAGGGATGTTCTCATTTTATTATTACTTATCTTATTCCTTCATCTTTATTTTGGTGCATTTAATATGTTTAAAAACTTAACTTCATGGTCATGGTGAGTTTTTATTGAACCTACAGCCTCCTAGAAGGTCTGAATTATTTAGCTGTTTTGTCAATAGTAAAAAAAAAAAAAAAACAACAACAACTAATAAGATAATGACTTAAGATTTTTAATCCTTAGCCTATTACCAAATATTCATACACAGTGTAGTTTGCATAGGTGTCGATTGCTCTGGTTCCTGTATCAGTGCCAGTAATCCAGTAATAGCTTATTAGTTCCCCATTGTTTCATTTACTTGAACTGCAGAGAATAATTAACAAAGTTGTAAAATTCTTAGTTTAAAGCTACAGTGTGTAACTTTTAGCGACATCTAGCGGTCAGACTGCAGCAACATGAACATCTCCCCCCCACCGCTTCTCCCCCCCAACAGTACGGCGAGCGTTACGGGACAAAATGTCTTCCACGACGTCTGCATCACCTACCTTCTCAAGGGATGAGGTTTGTTTACATAGATAATTTTACAGATAGTATTTCATTAGTCTGTGTAGGGTATAGATTTCATGTAGACTTAAGATAATAAATATACCCATTATTTTTTCTACATCGTTGTGACATTTTGGCGATCTCGCAATCACTAGTTTGTTGGCTCTGCGCTGCGTAGCGCAAAGATGTCTGCCTCCATGGTTGCGAGACCCGCTCCTATGTAATTATAAATAACGAATTCTAAGGCAACGCAAATATTAAGGTTAAGAGGCTGAGCTCGTAGATGATGATAAAATAACATAGTTATGTATAATATATTACATTTCTGACTGTATATCCCTGTAATTATTACACACTGTAGCTTTAAAGTATATTTAAGATGCAAGTATTTTAGTAGGGCCCATTCTGGTTTACTTCAATTCTCTTAAAATCACCAGAATGTAGAAAATAATGTATATTGTGAGAAAAATGTTCCACATTACTACAGACCACTTATTGTTACTAAGTGACATTTATTGTGCTATAAAAATACCACATTTTGTCACTTTGTTTCAGTTAAATCCTCTGAAAACCTCCAACCCATAGCTGCACCTGTCCTCATCTAACCCTGACAGTTTCCTGACCAAACTATTTCAAAATCTCACCTCAAGGTTTGGTGAAAAGTTGGCAGCCCTGCTTCAATGGAAAACCGTGAATACAGTAGTTGTCAATAGCCATTATCTTTTGGCATGTTAACGATCAGACCGACCCAGATCTATCCCAATGAAGAGCAGTGTGGTCTAGTTTTAAAGGTCTATAGGAGCTGATGTTACCTGGCGGTGTTGAGTAAGGGGTGCTGGGTCCCCACCAGCTTCCTCACATGCATGGCAACATTACTCAGCTCATCGCTGAGCAGGCAGCGCAGACTCATGAACGAGGTAGGATATCCCACGATCTTCTCCGCGTCCGACACCACTTTACTCCAAGTGGTGGAGGAATCCGAGCTGGAGAACAGGCTCAGACATCTCAGTCCACGGAGGGACACGGACCCCAAGCGGGTCAAACGCGACGCCGGAGCTGGAAACATGTTATTACAACCGTTTAAAATGAAACCTTTTGACTAGCCTAGTTTATGAAAAACAGCTCCGGGCGTCTCTGCTACTTCGCATTTTAAAGCAGCCTACTGCAGTTCACACCCCGCTTTGAACAGCAACCAAACAGGAAAGAAAAACGCTACTAAAAAAGGTTTAATATCACTGTCAGTAGATCTGTTTCACAACACACTAACCCAGACAGGACGCCGCCATCTTTACGAACGTAACACCTGACGTCACGAAACGTAACATCCGCTAAGAAGACTTCCGGTTAAAAACAAAATTATAAAAATTATATTATATATTTATATATATATACAGAGATGCAGAGATGGGAAGTAACGAAGTACAAATACTTCCTTACTGTACTCAAGTAGATTTTTCTGATATTTTTACTTTACTTTACTACTTATTTTTATGGCGACTTTTTACTTCTACTCCTTACATTTTTACACAAATATCTGTACTTTCTACTCCTTACATTTTTAAAAATTGGCTCGTTACTTTAGTTTTTAATCATTTCAATGGAGTTACCGTTATTATTTTTCACGTCATCAATACCAAATTCAATCTAATTGGATGGGAATCTACGTTGCATTTGACGCACCACTACAAGATGAAGCTACAGATTCGGCGGTATTTATTGGCGGCAAATCATTGCAGCTTGGTGGCGGTGGCGTTAGCATAGTAGCATGGACGACGAGATGATTGAAAATGAACACAACGGAGATCTAGTCCTATTGGCAGACATCCATTTAAAATGTAGGCAACGGCATGAAAAAAGTGGTTTCTACTTTTACTTTTATACTTTAAGTAAATTTACAAGCCTGTACTTTGTTACTTTTACTTGAGTAAAGAAGTTTAATCAGTACTTCCACTTTTACCAGAGTATTCTTTAACACAAGTATCTGTACTTTTACTCAAGTACGGAAAGTGAGTACTTTTGCCATCTCTGCGAGCCAATTTTTAAAAATGTAAGGAGTAGAAAGTACAGATATTTGTGTAAAAATGTAAGGAGTAGAAGTAAAAAGTCGCCATAAAAATAAGTAGTAAAGTAAAGTAAAAATATCAGAAAAATCTACTTGAGTACAGTGAGGAAGTATTTGTACTTCGTTACTTCCCATCTCTGTATATATATATATATATACAATGTTATTTTCACTATGTTTTGGTCAATTTTGGTCACTTTATTATAGTGGGTAGCATCCAGAATTTACTCGAAACGAAGTCATTTAGAATGTTTTTAGAGCATAAACAGTAGTGTATAGGACTTCCTGAAAGCACGCACATGCGCGATCACGATGCTACGGAAGCCGGCAGACCCAACCAGATGAAAGTGCGCATTCAGCGTCTGCTCTGCCAATAATGCAAGCGTAGAAGAAGAAATGTGCCTTTACCTGTGCAAAGAAAGAAACAACGAAAGAAAAATGTCTGAGGACTTCAGTGTTGAGGAAGAGCATGAGTTCTTTGCCGAGCTGAATGCGCTGGTTTGGTCTGCCGGCTTCCGTAGCGTCGTGATCGCGCATTTGCGCGCTTTCAGGAAATCCTATACACTACTGTTTATGCTCTAAAAACATTCTAAATGACTTCGTTTCGAGTAAATTCTGGATGCTACCCACTCAGGAAACTTGGAATACATTGGACGAGCAGTATGGAGGAACATTGAAACGTTTTTTGTGGACTTTTATGGACCTTTCTGCCTCGGGCGCTGGGCACCTCCATTATTTGAATGTCAGCAGACAGCAAGAAGCCTCCCAGATCTTCAGATGCATTTGAGATACCAAAAAGTTCTCCAGAGTGTTGTTCAGCATGGGGGTGAGTAGAAAATGAAGGCTAATCATGTTTTGGGTGTACTATTCCTTTAAGTGATGGTATCAAGGTGTTACTTTGTTGTATCTCTTATACTATATCCGTTGGTTGTGCTGTTCTTTTTACCTCTCCTTGCCGGCAATGAAGCAGACTGAAGATGTTTTATCATTATCTCCCTTTTATCTGCTCTTTCTTTAACCTTTTTCTGCTTTTTTCAATTTTTTCTTTCCTGTTCTACTTACATTCCAGTGTCCATATAATCTGTAATACTCCCTGCATGAATAACAATAAAGCTATTTATATGCATAAATCAAGCGGAACACAATGGCAATAACCATACTGCTCCACTTGTGAAAGCAAAATCTGTTGGGCTCTCTTTTTGGCATCAAGATAATTATTCATATTGTCACATTGCCAGACAGGACACTGTTAAATAATTCATATCCTGTGTAGGAAGATCAGCCATCTTGGCAAACTGACAGGAAAGATAGGGCAAGCATTATTCAGGAATGGAACCAAAAAGTCCCCCATTCATGTGGCCTTTATGTTGGAAAAAATATGAGTCTTACAAGAAACACAACAAAATGTGGAACATAGGGATCTGGTCTGACGAAGATGTTTCTCCTTTCGTGTTCTAGTAGCTATTCAAAACTTTTTAATAACACTTTCAAAAACCACAACAATGATAAATCTTGGAGGTGGCAGAATTGCACCATAGAGATGATTTTCCTAAGCAGAGGCATGGAGCTAAGTCCATAGCAGAGAAGATGGATCTAAGCTAAAGCAAAATAAATGTAGGAGCTATGCTACAGCTAAATAATATAGCATTTAGTTCTTTTTTCTGAGCAGATAAGAATCTTTTTGCTCCATTTTATAAAGGAAAGGAGGACATATTAACCTTAACTGCTAAGCAGTAATTAACTTTTTCATTAAATGAGGGGAAAGATTACAATCTTGGGAAAACAGAAGATGATTTATGCAAGTTTTGACCATCAATTTTTAAATAGTCTGTAGCCCAGCACTTTATTTTGCTTTAATGTCTTCAAAATTAGCAATCACCCATTCTTAAACACATTCACACACCAGTATATGCCAGGTCGTGTTTTAGATTTTTATTTTAATTACATTGTTTATAAAAAGAAATTTACATACGCAAAACATGTCCCATTTTAGCAAGTACCCTATCTTCATTTTTATTTTTAGACACTCCAATAAAAAATAATGGAGAAAAACAATTATTCTCATTCTCTGTTGAACCCCTTGAAACAGCCTTGAACCCTCTGGCCCAAACAAAAAAAAAAAAAAGTCCAAAATCAGACAGAATGCAAATAAAATTTTTTATTTTTTAAAAGATATGCATTTTTTAATAAGCATGTATAATATGCAAAAAAAAAACAACAAAAAACAAACAAACAGATTACTAACTTGAAATTCAAGACTTCTATAATAAAGTGTTGAAATAAAGTAGTATCTAATAGAAATTGTTTGTGAGAAATTAAATTAATATTATTATTATTATTTTTTTTTTTTTTTTTACAATTACCTTCCACAGTCATAAAGGAAGATATAAATGGCTGAATGAAGACTTTCCCCCACATGCCTCTAAATCAGTGGTCCCAAACTTAAATTCTCATGGGCTGGTGTCAAGCATACTGCAGTTATATCTCTTTCCTACACACCTGAATTAAAGGACTGACTCACTGCTATGCAGTAAAGCTCTATTGAACTTTGCTTTTAGGCTAATATTGAGTCAGATGTGTTAAAGCAAGACAGTTTGAAACCACTGCTCTAAAAACAATTCTACATGTCCGGAACAGTTTTTATAGCAAGTGACAAAAACCTTTCCAGTAAACACCATTTTTAACCAAACAGTCTAAGTTATGAGAAGTGTAGCTCCTCATCTTCCAGTTCCTGTAACACAATAACAGTGACAATATAAGATTTCCAAAGCGTGTTTTTGAATGTCCCCATGGAAACAATGCATCTATTGACTCCTTCTCCATCTGCTTGTTGGTGGACAGTCAAGGACATATTACAAAACTGTCTCCTTCATCCATTCAAAAAAAAAAAAAAAAAACAGTGGAGAAAAATATGTTTGATAATCAATAGTTATACTAGCTTCTTACACTCGCTCCGTATTTGGATAATAAAATGGATGTACTTAATAAATCCCAGTGTGGGTAATCTGTTGCAGCCAGAATGGAACTGTCGAACAATATACAGTAAAATGTTGATATAAAAACAAAAACATGTAGTGCTTTTAAGTATACTGTTAGGTTTATTCTTTAGAAATCATGTGCACATGATTTCTAAAGAATAAACCTGACAATACCCAGATGATAAATTATAGCTTAATTAGAGTGTAAAAGAGCTGGAAAAAAGAAATAATGGACAAAGAAGTAATGGACGATGTGAAACAGGCCTCAGGGTTGCAGTTAGAGACAGTTTTAGAACAATGTACCGGTAATTGTCAGGTGGGGTCGAGGCTGTTAGAGAACCCGAATACAGAAATGAGGGAGGTAGAGATGAGTTCTTGCAGGTTTAATGAAAGGGCAACAAAACAAAATCCAAGAACAAAATACTAGAAACCAAAAACCAGAGGAAAACACACAATGAACCAAGTAATGGCAAGAAACGAGCAATGAGGAAGTGCGGAGGTGGTATATATATGTGGAACAGGACAAAAAATGGGATATTGAGCAAATATGGAGCAGGTGTGGATAGAAGTAAGTAGAAGGTATCATGGTTTTGTTGTGGTTTTGAGGACCCAAATGCTGAGGCAGGGAGGCAGATGTGAGTTCTTGTAGTTCAATGTAGTGTTCACAAGCAACTGAGGCAGGAATCCAAAAATCCAACATGAAAATGTAAAACGAACTAAAACCATGGAGACATCAGGGAAAACAAGCATGAGGAGCCAGGGAAAGATGGGGAACCAGCACTGAGGAACTGCACAGGGAGAGTATGTATGGCTGAATGAACAAAGACAGGACTAATTAGCTGATTGGGAGCAGGTGTGAACAGAGGCCCCTAGAAAGGAGCTAGGCAAAAAGGGACCAGCACAAGGGGGCAACAGAGGGCAAGAAAAAAAAAACCTAAGAACTCAAATACATCCAGAAAACACAACAAGATAGGAATTGAAGCAATAAAACTAGAAAACAAAGAAAAACATGAATCAACGTAAAACTGAAAAATCAAAGAAAACTTAACAGAACAAAGACGGTGACAGAAGGGAGCCAAGGGGAAAGGAGACAGGCACAAGGGGGCAACAGGGAGTAACTCAAAAAATGCAACACAGCTTAAATATAACATGAAATGGAAAATAAACCAAAGATCAACAAAACAGAATTACATAGGTAACTGAAAACTCAAAGTCCAAAATGAGAGAAGCATAACATAAACTGAAGGTTCAATGATTTAATGTACTGATAACTATACGTTACCGGAGTTATAGTGTTCGAACAGCACTCAAAGAGTGTTTTAAAGCCCAGGATATTATTTGCTAACTGAACCCAGCTGTAATCCTTAAATCAAAACCTGTAGAGATTTTTTTTTGGAGGGAGTGTTACATTAGTAAAAAGGGTAAATATAAAAGCATGCAACATTTCTGTATGATAGATTTGTGTTTGTCAATAATACTAAAAGTCCATCATGAATTTTTGCATCACTTCCCAATTAGGCACTACTCTGGTCTATCATATAAAATCCCAAATAAAATACAATGTTTGGTTGCTAAAGGTTTGCTTTTACCCTTTCTTAAAGTAAACATTCTCAGTTTAAAATAAACTAGACAAAGGTGTTCAGAATGTAGGATCTTGTGATTCAGATGCTGTCCTGTTGAAGGGTTTGCGAGGCATCTGAGGAGTCATCTCCTCTGACCCTGCATCACGGTTCACAGCTCCTGTTCCTGCTGATTTTCCGGCTGAAATAGGTGTCACATTGCCATGAGCAGCCTCAACCAAAATTCTTAGATGCTTTCCTCATTGTAATTCAAAGGGTGGCGTGCAGCTGCAGCAGGTAAAATTCATGCACGAAGCACAGTCCTTTTATGAGGAGCCTCTAGTTCCTGTGCCTTTTGACAGTTAAGTAATATTTTAAGATCTGTCTGCAGTGTATTTCTGATGAAATCGGCTAATACAACAACTAATTTGCTGTAAACAGATTTTATTGGTATTATCATTGTTGATTTTGAAGGAGCAGCTGTTGAACTGAGTTTTGTCTCCAGCTCAAAGTAATGTCTCAAACCTATGGACCACCAGAAGGATTTTGGTATCTGTACGGATGCATCTCTCCTTCTTTTGCCTTTCTTCATTTCCACTATATCTGAACTCAACAGCGTCTCTGGTCTCTTCTCCATCTTTGAAATATTTCCTTTCCTTCTCTGTGATATGCTTCTTGCACACCACATCTTCACCTGTTTCCAACCTGCTTGGACGTCTTTCTTCACCTCAAACTACAGCACACCTCACCACTGTCTTATGGCTCCCATTAAGTTGCACAATGAATTTTTATATTTTTTTGAAGAAAAGTTGCAGAGCAGGTACAAAAAATGCAAGCACTGAACTGAAAAAACACACACACACACACACACAAAAAAAAAAAAAAAAAAAACAGTAACAGCCAACCCTAACAGAGCCAATGGAAAAGGGGAAGTACATGTCTGGACCACTCTAGCTTTTACTTCTTTGAGACACCAGACTTCCTCTTAGCACAGCTCCTGTCTCAGCATCCTGTCATATGCTTACTCCCTTTGACCATCAATTTCAGAAGCTACAACCTTAGTACTTTTTCATAGTTTGGAGCAAAGCTTCTGTTAAGAAACGCTCACCTCTGACATCAGTCAGTCTGTCACCACTGTTTTCCCGCTAACTATGGATGCAGGTGCATCTCGTTAATTAAAATGTCAGCAGTTTATCTCCATATGTCAACCCAAAAATTAAAAACTAACATATTGCATATAAATCACACAGAATGGAGCTTATTTTTTATCCATTGTGATGAATTTGGGTAAAGCTAATTGTAAATTGAAAAGCTCAATCTTATTACATATAAACATAATACAAAAATGAGTTTTAAAACAGAAATGTCATATTACAGTATTCTCCTATAAACATAATGTACAGTAGAGACTGCTGACTTAGTCTTCTACTTGGAACGTTAAGTGGAAAGAAAAGCAATGAAGAAGAAAGTTGCACTACTAAAAAAGATAACAATACCATCAGAGCCATAGCCAGAAAATTCTTATAAGGGTGGCCAGGCAATAACCAATGTATACTTAGGGGTGGCCAAAAGTGGATAATCACCAGGATCTCAGGATCAATCTACACTGTTCCAACAGGAACAAGCACAACGTCCATATTTCCAAGTAAAGACAAAGTATAGTTTCCTACTTCCTTTGCTAACAAATAGATGCATATATTTAAACATCCGTCTAGATAGAAGCTATATTGGATAAAATTCTTTCAGGTTTGAGTTCTGGAGCGAACATCTTTTACATTGTCATTACTTACCTACTTTTATCAATATCACTCTGCATTAAAATTATATTTACAAGTACTGATATCTACATAAAATTATAATTTAATAGGTTTTTATTAAAGTAGTTATTTAAAGTATCTCTTTAAAGTATTTCCCTGAGGGCTGCTCATTGGCGCAGTGGACTTCTGCCTTGCAGCAAGAAAGTTCTGAGTTCGATTCCTGGCCCAGGGTCTTTCTGCATGGAGTTTGCATGTTCTGCCTGAGCATGTGTGGGTTCTCTCTGGGTACTCCGGCTTCCTCCCACAGTCCAAAAACATGACTGTTAGGTTGATTAGCTTCTCTAAATTGTCCTTAGGTGTGAGTGTGTGCGTGAATGGTTGTTTGTCCTTTGTGTCTCTGTGTTGCCTTGCGATGGACTGGCGACCTGTCCAGGGTGTACCCCTTTGACTGCTGGAGATAGGCAACAGCAACCCTTGCCACCCCACTTGGGATAAGTGTGTCAGATAATGGATGGATAGATGGATGATTTCCCTGAAGACTCCTCAGACGCTCTCATATAAACTTGCAGAGACACATAATTTTCTCTTTACGGCATATAACACAAAATCTAGTTCTAAAAGAGCATGAATTCTGTAATCACCTCTAATGTTGGTATATTGATGTGCATAATTAACCACAGTGTGTGTATTGTCAAGTAACTGTTAATATATATCAAATTTAAATGATTTGAATATTCTACTTGAGAGAAAACAGTGGTAGGGGTAGCCACAAGGGTGGCCAATGATTGGCTAAGGCTGACCCCTGGCCACCCATCTAGCTCCCCCCCTGAATACCATTGACAGGACTGACAGTCTAGTCAAGGAGTGTAGTAAATATGATAAAAGTAAAAATTATCATACCAGGGTTAAGCAAAAAACAAAACCAGAACTTGTCCTTGTTTCTTATGTACATTTACAGCATCTGGAGGAAGAATGGAGACACATTATCCACATTATTAACGTCTGAGTTTTTAAAAATCAGTCATGAATTTTGGAGTCAAGTCATCTGGTGTTTTTCTATTTAATTTAATGAAAAAAAAACAAAAAACAAAGTATGTGTGTGACATCTTTCCTTTACTGATTAACTTTATGGGGATGAAGATATAATTTTCCAGCAGGGCTTGGATTCTGTCTACATTGCGACCGGCTGAAAACCCTGGACTGGTCTTCAGACTGCTCTGATATAAACTTCATGGAAAATCTATAGGATATTGTTCAGAGGAAGATGAAGAAAAGTTAAAGACTCAGCTTTTAACACATCAACATTCTCAGGTTGATCACATTCTTGCAGCATCGATGTAGTAATTAATACTGAGTATATGTAATAAAACAGATAAAATGACTGAAATAGTGTATTATTTATGCCAGGGGGCCAGTCAGACACTTTAGTTTAGGCAAGGCCAAGTTAAAACCTATTTTGCATCATTTCTAATAATAAGAATAACTTCCTATGAAAATAAAGGAAAATCAGGTGTAGGTAACATGCTTGACCTTAAATGCACTGAACTTGAGGTGTGTTGTTTCAAAAGAAGAGCAACAGACTCTGCTGAAGTGGTTTGGCGAGCGGGTTGCGTGTGCGCACCTGTTTGCAGCGCACGGATTGTGCGCTAAGAGGATGGGGACGCTCTGATTGCGCTCCACTGGAAAGCGAGAAGAAATAGCCCACCTCTGATCATCAGCGCGTCATATAATGTTTCAGCCGACGCCCCTCCCCCTGTCTCGTTTTCTCCCCTCACTCAACCTCTCCTTTGACTCGCAGAGGCTGCTCAGCACCGGCGCACGGCTCGCGGAGGACACGGCGAAGAAGATGGCTGACTCGGCCGGGCACTGCCAGCTCCCGGCGGCATCCCCGGCGTCACTCGAGCCGCTGAAGAGCCGCAGGACCTCCGCAGTGTGGAGGCTGTAAACAGCTGCTGCTCCCCCCCCCCTCTCTCTCCCTCTCTCTCTCTCACACACACACACGCGCGTGTCCACCCTCCTCCTCCTCTTCTCCCCTTCCTCACCGCAAATATTGACAGAAGTATCATAGAGAAAACATGGCAGAGATGGAAAAAGAGGGCAGACCTCCGGAAAATAAAAGAAGCCGCAAGCCAGCGCACCCGGTGAAAAGGGAAATAAATGAAGAGATGAAGGTAAAGAGGCTCCGTGCCAAGCTGCATGAGATTACGCATGGAGTGTGTCTGTATTAGAGCAATAAGTGAGGAGGATTCTGGCTGCATCTTTGTGCAACAAACTTTCATTTAAGATATTTGATTTTTTTATTTTTATAAAATGTGTCTTTTTAATTAATGTATATATTTATACATGCATGCTTGAAATGTGAGCCTCTGCATGCTGCTGCGCACAATGGATGCGGCACACGCTCGTTGCTTCACTTCCACTATTAAGTTGAAGGAATACTCTTAGGGGGTAGTGCCGCCTGTCATAATCACGCCGTTTGTGCGCTCTGTCTTCTGTGGCTCAACCCGGAGTAAATGGAAAATCCAGTGCGTCAGTGAAGGCGTCAACAGTGCGTCTACTATTACTATTATTGTTATGGCACACGTACAGGAACTAAGGGGCGCATCATTAGGAGATCAATGTAGGGGGAAAACACTAGTATTCCGTTATCCGTTTGCAGTGCTGCGTGGATTTGCATGTAGTCGTGTATGTGTGGGTGTGTGTGTATGTGAGGGAGAGTGTTGAGAAGCTGCCCAGAGGCGTGTGATCCAGATGTGCGCCTCTTTGCGCGCTCTGTCGATGGGAGCAAATTGTGTTCGACCCATCCCCTGTTTTTCCCTTGCATCCAGCAACGCGTTGTTTCTCTCAGTGGTTTGTGTTTCTTTCACTCGCTGCACGCTGGGATATTTGAGCTCCGTGTGGTCCATTGTGGAGAATGAAAATGTTTCTGGTATCCTTGTGTGTGTGCGGATGCAGCCCGCTTTGTCTGCATCCCCTCATTGTTTGTACACGTTTGGCTGTAGACTCAGGTGCAGCCGGCGTTTTTCACTGTTGAAGAGGATGGATGTGGAGGCGATCAGATCTAAAATTACTGCCGAGATATTATTTTTAAGGGATTTTTTTTTCTTTTTCAGGCAGAAATTATTAAAGGTTGTGAATCATGTCACTCAATTTCCTGTATACTGTACAAAGAGACAAATTTTTCCTTCATGCTTTGATTTTTTTTTACCCCTGCTGCTATAGTGCAGGTATAATAATTAGACAATTCCAGCTTGAAAATATGTTTTTCTTAGTTTTCACAGTATAAGTGTTATTTTCTGGAATTAGTGAAAAATGCTAACAGACAAAGGGTATTTCCTTTAAAGGTGCATCTCAATACATCAAAATACAAAGTAAATTTGTTGTGTATAATTCAATTTAAAAGTTAAACTTGTGTTATACATATTTATGACAAAAACATGATATATTTTAAGATTTTATATTAATTGTGTTTAGAATAAAATAGTTGTACGACTATAATTTTTTTATGTATAAAGGAAGGTCTTGGTATGTCTGCACAATGATAGGAACAGCGGCTGACTTAAAAGAGGTACAACATTTCAGGGAGAGTAAACCTCAAAACATTGCTACAAAACAGGCGGGCTGTATACTGAGAACCGCTTTCAGGCCTTTTAATGGGAAGTTGAGTGGAAGGAAAAACTGCATTATGAAGCAAAATACACCTAAGTCTTAGATCCACTTTGCTCCCCAGCCACATCCAACAAAATTTGATATTACAATTAAAATAGATTATCTCATGATATTCTGATTTATTTGAAAGGCATTGTAGATGGAGAGTTGAAACCAATACACTTATAAATTAACAAATAAATGAATGGTTTTGAAACTAATAAATGAAAGTCATCGATTGGCCCTTCCTTGGAGATGCAATGATATTCTCTTTGCATTTTTTTGATTATCCACCCCGACAATGCTAAAAAACCCCTTTAAAATGGCTTTGAGGTTGAGCGTGACACAGATTATCACCTTGTCCCCTGTCTGTAGACTCTTTTGTTTGTTTTGACTGTTTTGTTTCTCATAAGTTGTGGTTAAAGTGGACAAAAAGCAGCCCCCCCCCCCCCCCCCCCCCCCCAGTTTTGTCATTTTTGAAGACTCCTCATCTACGCTGTAGAACACTGGGATTAATGCAGAAGTTAGCCTTATGATAATTCATCACGCTGACCATATGATTGCATGATGCCAGTCATCACTCAGAGAGTCTTTTTTTTTTTTTGCTGGTATGACTTTTGTCCCCTGTTAAATGATAGATGTTTTGCGACACGGGTCATCATTTAAAATTCTGTGAATTGACATATTTTATGATGCATGTTGAAGCAGTGACATGTCAGTTAAACATCTCATTTGATGGAAGCGCTGCAATTTGTCATAAGGCGTCAGGTTTTGCTGTTTTTTTCTTCCAAGTATTCTGTATACCTTGGACTCTTTTTTTCATACATTTCTATTTGAAGATGTTTTTTTCCAGTAGGTTTTTAGGTATGGGAAACAAATCAACCAAAGCATAGTTCGTCAGGTTTATGTCAGCTGCCTTTCCTGATTTTCTTTCTGTTTCTTTAATGCATAACTTTCAGTTGTTTGATATTTAAATGATATATTTTACCTGACCTTCCTTCTTTTATTTTTTTTTTATATCTCAAAAAAAACATATCTGCACATTGCTGAATACTGTTCTGTGAATCACTTTGTTTTGCTAAAATGTGCATTGCTTTTCCACTAAAACCTTTACTTTCAGGCTGTTTGAACAGAATGAGAAATTAGAACCAAATCCCCTTTGCTCTGCAAAAAAGTAAAATCTAAATATGTGTTTTGTCTTTAAATAAGTGATTTCTTTCTCTAATTGAGGAGGTAAGTGAAACATTTTGCCAATAGAACAAGACAATTTACATTTGAAATAAGTAAAAACAATTGCATTCTTAAGAGCATATTATCTAATTATCTTATTATAAGTATAGAAACACTAATTCCATTGGCAAATCATTTGATTTACCTACTGAAATTAAGAGAAAATACACTTAATTGAAGATATTACTACTTAATTCTAGGTCATCTTTGCAGTGTGGGCATCAGGTTGATAATCTTTAACTAAAATTGTTAATAAAACGGCAACATGACAAATTTTTCAACTTTTCTTCTATAATAATATCACCCTCAACATTTCAGTCATTATTCTCCCTCTGTAGAAATACTTTTAGAGTTTGTTCAGATGCTCTTAGATAATCTTTCTGTAGCTTATTATTGGGACTTGTGTGAGTGTTTAGAACATTCATTTTCTCTCTAAAATCCACATCTTTTTAAATCCTAAGTTTATGTGTTTCAATAAAAGACATGATGAACAATATCAAAGCATTTATATTGCATAAGCGTTCAGGCTCTTAAACTGAAGCATTGTTAAAGCACCCTTTGATAACACTCCTTTCAGTTCAGTTATACAGATGGATTCAAAGTCATTTACATACAATCCCAGTTCAAACCTCCTTATAAAAAATACAAACAATTAATTCATATTTTAATGTATTATTTTGAATGGTGAAAACTTTCCTCTTTAGGGAAACATAGCCAGTTGCATGCAGTCATTAACTTTTCAGCAATTCCTCACATTGAGAAGTCCAACTTCTTCTCATTAAGACCAGTTTTGGGCCAAGACCGTTCTGTATTTTGAGCTATTCATAAATTATTTCACCTTGACAAGAAACTCAAAGTAGTGCTCCATCCCCAACTATATTTCACTGCGGGGATGGTGTTCTTGCATTGATGCACAGGGCTGTTTTTGCACCAAACATGTTTTGAATTATGACCTAAAAGTTAATGTGAAATAACTTATTCACCAACAAGGTTGGAGAGATTTTAGCCTTAAGTCCATTCCAGTAAAAAATGCAAGAGGATTTTCATCACCTTGGCAGCCTTTCTGAACAGCAGTGTGATCCCAAGAGGACTGAATGCTGAAACTGAATCAAAAACCACAGAAAACAAACCATAACTTAAGGTTGTCCACACATGCAGAAGGTTTGATGCAGCTTTTTATTTTTTATCCATAACTTTTTCATCCTATTAATTTCTATATTGTGTCACATTAATGTCACTCTAAAGGTTGAAAACGTAACATCTGGCAGCTACTGTATGCTTTTTAAAATCTATCATCTTACTTCACCTAAAATCATAAGTAAAACTGACTGAATAAAGATAATAAAGTTATTTTCAACTCATTTGAAGTCATGGATTAAATTCAAAGCCACTGGTGTAAAGTTTAACATTGTTTAACTTTTTTTGATAGATTTCAAATCCACTAATTAGAATACTAAACTATATGAAACAGTCTGGCTGCTCAGTGGCGCAGTGGGTAGCACTGCTGCCTTGCAGTAAGAAGGTTCTGGGTTTGATTCCCGGTCTGGGGTCTCAATGCATGAAGTTTGCATGTTTTCTCCCTGTGCATGTGTGGGTTCTCTCCGAGTACTCCGGCTTCCTCCCACAGTCCAAAGACATGACTGTTAAGTTAATTGGCTTCTCTAAATTCTCCTTAGGCATCAGTGTGCGCATTAATGGTTTTTTGTCCTGTTTGTCGATGGACTGGTGATGTCCACGGTGTACCCCGCCTTTCGCCCGTAGACAGGTGAAGATTGGCACCATCACCCCTCGCGACCCGCTTGAGATAAGCGTGACGGAAAATGGATGAAATTATATAAAAATTCTATTTCAATTTAACTGATAAGGATTCAATAAAATAATTGAATACAGCATCTTTGCTTTTACATGAAAGTTATTTTAAGCATGATCTTCTGATACAAACAGATTCTTCACCTTCCTATAGGATATTTTGCTCAATAAAAAGTCGAATTTGAAGCAATAAAATATTTCTAAGATGAGTTTAGGGATTTCTGTAAAGTTATTATTGTCTAATATTATTCTGTGCACATTCAGGAGATGTGATTGGTGCAAAGATGGTAATTTATTGCAATCAGATCTGTTTAATCAGAAAGAAAGCTTTTACTAATTAATAAAATGAACATAATCATATTAATTTATAACTTGAGATTATATTGGCATGTGTCTAATTAATCAACCTGTATCTATGATTAGGTTAAATCGATTTTTATCTCTGCAGATAAATTTCATCTGTTTAATTTGCAAATTCCCTGTG